AGGTCACTTACTTTGGCCATCTCCTTTGGGGCGTTGGCTCTTATCTTCTCTGCTGCTCTCTTCTCAGGACACTGCTGCAGTTCATGGACCCGTCCAGCAGGTGGCGGCTGGAACACAGCTGATGTCTTCTGTGGATGCTGGAACTGCTGTTTCTTTGCCTCAGCTTTATGGGAGTGCAGTGCCGGGCCTGGATCGCCAGTCTGCGACCGGTGAGTACTTTGTTCCCTCCACTTCTGACGCTACGGGTCCTGGGCTGGGAGGGAATTTGTGGAGATATTTTCTCTCCTACCACTGGAGGAAGCTCCTCCTGTGGCGGACAAGGACGGTAAGGAGTCAGAAAAGGATAAGGAGAAGTACCGTTTTCACAAAATTACCAAGACTTTTGGGAACTGGATTCGGGTGTTCTCTATTTTGGCCAGCGTGGTGGGGGAAAAGTCTCCCCAAAAGTGCCCTACACTCTTCTGTTATCAGGACACGATCTGGAACGCTTGTCGCACCTATGGGGGGCTGAGTTGGTGGAGGTACGACAAGCAGGGCGTCCCTCGCTGTCATGGGATCAGAGGGATATCGGCCTCTGGCTTTCCATCATGACTCGTCCAGCCCCTCAACAGGGCGCGTTTTTGTCCTTTCTTGGGTGAGTTGGTGGGGGTACGTCCTCCTCCTCATCGGCCTCCGGTCAGAGGTCTGGCTGTTGTTGGAAATTTAACGACAGTCACTGTAAGTGGGTTCCTCATGCCGGTTTAAGCATGAGTGAAAGGGGACATGGGGGCTAAGGGCAATGACGCTGTCCTCGTAAACGAGATGCGCCCGTGGCTCGACCTTTATAGGAATCGGGCTGTGGCGCGGATCCTGGTGGAAGGGTTTGAGCAAGGATTTTGGATCCCTTTCTCCGAGCGCCCTCTGCTGCTCTCCGTACGAAACCTCAAATCCGTGTAGGTAGTACAGGAAAAATTGGATAAAGAGGTCTCCTTGGGTCGGATGGCCAGCCGGTTCTCCGCCCCACCGATGGCTAATTTGTGGGTTTCTCCTTTGGGTTTCTCATTTGGGTAAAATAAATACATGTTTTCAAGGTTCTATATTTTTTAATTTTCAAATTTGTAGTCAGGAATGTCAAATTGCTCTTGTAGGATCTCAGAGATTGCGGAGTGCTGGGGTGCCCAGCTATTATCCAAATTATACTTAATTTTAACTTTTTCAAATGACATTAGTGAATCATTGTTGAAAAAACTATCAATATCGCATGCGCATTCAGCCGATGACAGAAGAAGAGGGAGGAGAGTCCGGCACTGGAAAAAAGGTAAGGGATTAACCCCTTCCTCCCCCTTCAGCGCCACGGGAGTGGGACACTGAGGGTGGGGGCACCCTCAGGGCACTATAGCGCCAGGAAAACGAGTTTGTTTTCCTGGCACTATAGTGGTCTGTTGCAAAATCACTACAGACAGAGATAACGTTGTTCATTCTTATATTTCACCCATAACCTTGCTTCGGTACTATAATTTTGTACCCAACTCCCAAACTGATTGCCTGATACTCATTCGTTATATGAACAGCGGACCACGAGGCCCCTGGCGTGTGCCGCCACTTAACCCCAGTCACCTTTCTAATAACTGAGCGACCAACCACCCTAAGAGCGGAGTTTGTCTCCAATTGATCGCCCAGAGAGTTGCGGTCTGCCGTTAACCGCAACCTAATTGACGGCCTCAGGGCATTCACGTTCATGTCCCATCTCCCGATACTCAAACCACCAAAAGGTTCCCGAACAAGGACCCCCTACAGCCTGGCGTGTGGCCTCAATTAGAACGTTGGTCTTCATTCGTCTCCCGAACAGCGGGGACATCCAGCAACAGATCGGGGATTAGTGCAAACCCCTAGCCGTTCCCTGTTCCACGAGTTTGAGGTCGAGGTCCTGCTGCCTATTAATTCACTTAAAAATATGGCCGCCATCTCAAGCCCGGGACCAAAGACACGAACAGACTTTATAACGAGGAAACTAAGCGTACCGTTCGTGGGTTCTGAGCGCTCTTCCCTTAATTGTTTCGCCCAGACCGGGGCTATCTAATGAATGGTAGAAGGCACGAATTATATATGAAACTGTTAAAGTTATGTATTTTTATCCTGTTTTTTATGTGGCAAGAAAACATGGTATTTTGGGCGCTTGGAGATAATTGTATTGTCATAACCGTTGGATTCATTATCTCCAAGCTGGGCGGTAACAATTTCAAAAGATACATTGAACTCTTATTGGTTAACCACTTGTATTGTCCCTGTATACCATCAGGTCCAGAGGGGACTGGACCTGAAATTTAGCATAAATACTGATACCTGTGTGCCATTAAAGCCAGTTCTTGTTTGACCTTCAAATCGCAGCCTCGACTCGTTTTGTGGGGAAACGGTATCCTAGTTGTACTACAGCTAGTGGGATTGTTCTACACTTACAGGATTCCTATGGACTATTAGCTGAAACGGCCTCTCCCTCTCTCTATCTCGGGGATCCAGATCATCCAAGCGGACCAGCTTCCAGCAAGCCTGGGAGTAACTGTAACATGGTCCTTTAAAAGGAGTTAAAGTAAAATTAGAATTAATTATTGCATAAGACAGGGACCACAGTAACTATGTATGGTTAAACTCCAAGGACTAAATAATTAATTGGGTGCACTGTATCAAAGAAGCAAAGTCCCTATATAAATCCATCGCATTTTGTTGTTTATTGTACGTGGGTACTGCAAAAAAGATGTATTGTAAGGTAAGCAAATCTTTTTCTTCTAATTAATAGTGAATAATCTTTTAATCCATATGTGTGATACATTCCTGTAACTCTATTGTACGTTTTAAAATCGTGTAGGAGTTTATTTAGTTAGAAAATGAAAAGTCTTAAAATATAGTATATATATATATCTTTCATTTTAAAAGGTTTTATGTGAACACACAGTATGCCATAATTTAGCACATAGCCCCTGCCATTTAGTAGACATGGATTTGCATAGTTTACAGTAGTTTGATGTCAAGAGATGTATGTAACACTCATTTAGTCTGTTCCTGTTACTGAACATAATTTATAATGAAAATCAAAATATCCACAATATTTAATGAAAAATATTTTTCAGTGAAAAAATTAAAAATAAATAAACATGAAATTGTATTCTGTACATGAATGAATCTGTTTCTTTCTAAGTCATATCTAAATAGGGCAGTACTTTATAAATATTAGAAGCTTATAGACAGTGAATTCAGATTATATTAGGTCAGCTGGTCTCTCCATAAAATCTAATATAATTTTAATCAATGTATTCAGTGGGAATTAAGGTATTGATGTTATATAAACATATGATAATGTAATGTCCTTTTAATTTAGAACAATTTCTGTATTTTAAAAATTTAGATTGTAACAATACCAAAATCCACTATAAACATTTTTTTCCATGTATTTTGCAGTATAAAATGTAGTCGCTAAAGCCTCACTCCCCTTCATGTATATACGAGCTATTAATGTCAGCTAGTAGAGAAACACATTTCTATGCCATAAACCACTATTTAATAATATAATGCCTGTTAAGTTTCTGAAAATATCAGCACACCCACTGCTGACAAACAGCACAGTAGGTTTCAATGGGTCATACCATTCCTACATTCCGGGAGCGGAGTAGTGAGTGGACCATTTTACTATCAGTATTACTTTAGCAGTCCAGAGATTGATAAATATTGCTATAGCAGTTTTAAATACCTGTAGTTTATAAATATGTGATTTAACTGTATTTACTATACATGGGCATTATGCTTAATGCAGACATTCTTTTTTTCCATTATGTGGCCATTTTTAGTAAGTTGCACTGCTAGAAATACCTTCTTGGTCATTAGAAACACCTATAAGCAATGTTTTGACCATCTGTGTTTATCTTAATTTGTCCTATCTGCTGTGTCTGAGAAAAATTGAATGTTTGGTCTATAGTAACATTTCAGACCCTGAGTGAAATATTGCAAGATTTAAAAAAATAAATAAATTAAAAAAAACACTGTATACTGTCTAAAGCTGGTCTTTTCCTAAAAATGTCTATAAAGGCTCTATGAAAAATAAAAATTTTGTACATTTTTAAGTTTGTCTGCAAAACAATCTATACACAAAAGTGCTGTTTAATGATACGTTTACATGCTAGCTATGGATCTCTTCCTTCAAATAAATGGAACGCTAATAATTTTTCCATTAAAAACGTACTTGATAGTGAATTGATTAATATAATTAGATATGGAATATCAAAAAGCAAAATACACACAAAACCACTAGTTTTTATTTTCAAAGTTTATGGGTAAAATGATACATTTTTACAGACAAAGAAAGGAATAAATTTATATAGATACAAATAACATCAATTAGTGTACCATGTACATTTTCATATTTAAATAGACCTCCCACCATGTGACTGCACACACTGAATGATGTGGATTTAATTATCCTTATTCCGTACTAGAGGATGATCTAGCTGTAACTTACATCATCAAGTGTCCACACAATTAAAGAAAACCTAGGAGATCACCTGGACAATATTCACCATAGCTTGCACTCTAATTAAACAGTAGTTATATTAGTGTATCATCATCTGAGCAATACCAGCCTGGATCAAGCTGTCATAGAATGTTACCCTGTGAAAACAATATGGCAGATAGGATGGGTTCTCCATGTGATATTGTTAAATATGTTTTTTAAAGACTGTCATATACTTGGAGAGACTTCCAAAATGATTTAATTTTATGAAAAATAATTTGATTGTGTACTTTTTTCATTTTTGTTATATATTGATATATTATTTCAATATTGTTTTTGTGTGTGTATTCAAAAATCTTAAATAATTTGAAATTGTTTCCATAAATATTAAATTGATTGGTTACACTGAATTTAATTAAAAGAGCTATTCTAACTGTATTTTTTTTCCATTTGAAATTTGTTGATTAGAATTTTAAACAAGTGATTGGTTATTATCTAAACAACCCTTTGTGTCATATTGTAGAAAATGGCTGTGAGTAATAACACACTGAATAAGGATTTCATTTTGATTGGACTTTCCAAAGATCCGCAGCTAAAGATTGCCCTTTTTGTGCTTTTTTCCTGTGTGTACACAACCACCTTAACTGGAAATTCAATTCTGATTCTACTCACACGAGTTATTCATGAACTCAGTACCCCCATGTACACGTTCCTGTTCAGTTTGTCTCTCTTAGATGTCTGCTTCACGTCAGTCACTGTGCCAAAGATGCTGACCAGTCTCCTTGTAGAAATTAGCTACATTTCCTTCAGTGACTGTATCACGCAGCTTTACTTCTTCCACTTTCTGGGCAGTTCAGAATGTTTTCTCTTGAGTATTATGGGTTACGATCGATATGTAGCCATATGTCATCCCTTGCGTTACACACAAATTATGAGCAAGACATTGTGTATCAAACTTGTCTCTGGCTGTTGGCTTACAGGTCTCTTTTATTCCTTGGTCCACACTCTAATGACAGCTGGTTTATCATACTGTGGTTCGAGGGAAGTCAACCATTTTTTTTGTGACATGCCACCACTTTTGATATTGTCCTGTTCAGACACTAAAACAAATCTGATTGTCATTTTGGGCTTGGGTGGTCTTGCAGCCGCTGCTTCTTTCTTACTAACAATCATCTCATATGTTTTTATAATATCCTCAATCCTTCGTATTCAGTCAACAAAAGGACAACAAAAGGCTTTTTCAACATGTGCATCACATCTTCTGGTGGTTTTAATTTTTTACGGTACTATTGTATTTATGTATCTCAGACCAAAATCTAGCTACTCTTTAGAGCACGATAAAATGCTCTCTGTGCTTTACAATGTGATTACCCCAATGTTGAACCCTCTGATATACAGTCTAAGAAACAAAGAGGTTAAACTTGCATTTAGAAAGCTTTGTAAGAAATGGCATAGAAAATGATTCATTTTAACCATTTCAAGTAATACAATCAAATTAGCTTTCGATTATCAGAGCTGTAATATGGGTGAGGTAGTAATACAGAGAATCTCACATAACATGAAAAGTGTTGCCAATATTTTATATCAGACTTGATAAACCAGCTCAGGCAATTCATCCATTGTACAGCGCTACAGAATTTGTTGGCGCTATATAAATAATAATAATAATAATAATAATTGCTCTATTCTAAACAATTCTAAACCTGTTCTAAAGACCTTTGACATATCAATAAAATGGTTCTAACAATTCTAACCCTTTTCTAAAGATATTTTACAAATCAATCATGCTATTTTAAACTGTTCTAACCCTGTTCTAAAGGTATTTTACACATCAATCACCTTGTTCTAAACCATTCAAACCACATTCTAAAGACATTTTACACATCAATCACTCTGTTCCTAACTATTCTAACCAGTTCTAAAGGCATTTTACACATCAATCACTTGGTTTTAAACCATTTTTACCCTGGCCTAAATAGATTGTATACATCAATCACTCAGGCCTCAGGGAGAGTGCGCAGCTTAGCGAACAGGGGCACATGTATGAGTGTGGGATGGATGATGCACGATTGGCTATATGCTACATGTGGGAGTGTGAGATGTGAGGAAGTGGGTGGTGACAGATCAGACTGACCTCAGTGCCACTTAGGAGCCGGCAGCAGGGCCGCCATCAGAAAATTTGGGGCCCATGACAAAGCACAAGGTCTGGGCCCCCCCCTCCTCGCGGGCCCGCCCAGGCCCTACCTAGTCCGCTCACAATGATGCAGGACTGAATGTGGTGTGTGTATAGTGGAAGTGAATTAGAATGTGTGTAATGGATGTAGTGTTTGTGTGTATTAGATACTGTTTGTGCAATGAATGCAGAGTGTGTGTTTGTGTAGCGGATGCAGTGTGTATAGTGAACGCAGAGTGTTTTTGAGTAGTGGATGTAGTGTGTGTACAGTGATGTAGTGTGTGTTTGTGTAGTGGATGTAGTGTTTGTATGTACTAGATGAAATGTGTTTAGTGGATGCAGTGTCTGTAGTGTGTGTATCAGACGCAGTGTCTGTGTATAGTGAATGCAGAGTGTTTCAATTTGTGGTGGATGTAGTGTGTGTACTGTGAATACAGGATGTTTGTGTAGTGGATGCTGTGTGTACAGTTAATGCAGAGTGTATGTTAGTGTAGTGAATCCAGTGTGAATCCAGAGTGTGTGCATAGTTTAGTGAATGCAGAGTGTGTGTTAGTGTGTAATGAATGCAGAGTGTATGTTAGTGTGTAGTGAATGCAGAGTGCGTCAGTGTAATGAATGTAGTGTGTGTGTTAGTGCAGTGAATGCATAGTGTGTGTAAATTTGTAGTGAATGCAGAGAGTGTGTTAGTATGTAGCGGATGCAGAGTGTGTGTTAGTGTAGTGAATGCAGTGTTAATGTGTAGTGAATGCAGAGAGTGTGTTAGTGTGTAGCGGATGCAGAGTGTGTGTTAGTGTAGCGGATGCAGTGTGTGTGTTAGTGTATGCGTAGTGCAGTGTGTGTGTGTTAGTGTATGCAGTGTGTTGTGTTAGTGTATGCAGTGTGTGTGTGTGTAGTGTATGCAGTGTGTGTGTTAGTGTATGCAGTGTGTGTGTGTTGTGTTAGTGTATGCAGTGTGTGTGTCAGTGTATGCAGTGTGTGTGTTGTGTTAGTGTATGCAGTGTGTGTGTGTTGTGTTAGTGAATGCAGTGTATGTGTGTGTTATTGTATGCAGTGTGTGTGTTGTGTTATTGTATGCAATGTGTGTGTTAGTGTATGCAGTGTGTGTTGTGTTAGTGAATGCAGTGAATGTGTGTGTTATTGTATGCAGTGTGTGTTGTGTTAGTGTATGCAGTGTGTGTTGTGTTAGTGAATGCAGTGTATGTGTGTGTTATTGCAGTGTATGTGTGTGTTAGTGTATGCAGTGTGTGTGTTGTGTTAGTGTATGCAGTGTATGTGTGTGTTATTGTATGCAGTGTGTGTGTTGTGTTAGTGTATGCAGTGTATGTGTGTGTTAGTGTATGCAGTGTATGTGTGTGTTAGTGTATGCAGTGTATGTGTGTGTTAGTGTATGCAGTGTGTGTTGTTAGTGTGTGATCTGGGGTGAGGGGGAGGAAGGGGCATTTTAACATTAATTTTTTATTAATTTAATTAAATGTTTCTCCCCCCTCCCTGCTTACCTGTGTCCAGGGAGGGGGGAGATTCCATCCCTGGTGGTCCGGTGGGGGGCCCCCCGGGTCCCTGTTACCGCAGAGGGGGCCCAGGCAGCACAGGAGCAGCTTCTCCTCCTCTCTTCTAATAACTCTCGCGATACCCGGTTACCATGGCAACGCTCCGCGGGTCTCGCGAGAGTTATTAGAAGAGAGAATAGAAGAGAAGCAGTGTGCTGCCTGGGCCCCCTCTGCGGTAACAGGGAGCCGGGGGCCCGCGGCTGCACACATAGATAGTGATATTCGCTATCTATGTGTGCAGAAAGGGAAAGTGGGGCCCAGGACTGCCAGAGCAGTCCGGGCCCCCCAGGGCCGCCGGGCCCGTGACAACTGTCACGGTTGTCACCCCTTGATGGCGGCCCTGGCCGGCAGCAACAAGTTTCTCTGCCTCCTCCTGTTGCTGAGCTTGCTGGATTGTCGGCCTGTGGGTGTCCTGGATCCTGGATGTCTGCCCTCAGGGCTGGTAATATTGCTGCAGCAGACATGGCCTCCTCCTTCCCCAGCAGGAGGTTCCCCTCCCCAGTGGTCTGGCCCCCCACGGGCACCCTCCCTGCGCACCCTCCATGTGCACACTCCCTGGGCACACTCCCTGGGCACCCTCCCTCAGGCTCTGTGCGCCCCAACTCTCCTCCTCGGGCCCGTTACAGGAGCTGCAGTCTGGGCCCGAGGCTTGTACTGGGCCGTGCGCCTGGACCACGTGGCGCGCGGCCTGCCCCACGCCTGGTCCTTCCGCCGCCCCTGGTGGAGGTTGTTGGGGGCTGGCAGAAGCTTGGCAATCTACCCGGGCGGCGTGTGGGATGCATGTGGGATGCCGCCCGGGGTCCTCCCCTCTCAGCCGGCAGTGGTAAGTGGGACCCCTGCGGGGCACGCGGGGTGGCTCTCGGCCGCTGCCGCTGGGTGGGGAGGGGTTCTGTATCCCCCTCATGGGCTCCGGGGGGGTCTACATGTCCCGGCACTCCCCTCCCTCTTTTGCCCGGGCAGTGTCCGTGGGTGGTGTGGGCTCCCTCCCTCTCCCCTCTATTTTTCATTATTGTCCCCCCCCATTTCAGTGTGGTGACTCCCTCTTCTATTTTGCTTTCTCCTGTTTTATGGTCCCCTCCCATTTCTTTGTTGTGTCCCCCCCTTTTATTTTATTCCCCCCTATGTCTTTATTGTCCCACCCCTCCTCCTTGCTGACCTTCTTTGCCCTTCCCCCCCTCTCCTTACCTCTCTCGGCAGCCTCCTGTCTGGAGCGTTGGCTCTTCCTCTCTCCACTGCTGCTTCAGGCTTTGGGTGCAGTTGCTGGATCCGTCCAGCAGGTGGTGTCTGAAGCTCCAGTTGCCAAGTGAACTGCGCTGCAGGTGATGAACTCCTCTTTTTAAGCTGCTGTCTCTTCTATGGTGCCGCCATCAGTTCCTGGGGTGCCGTCAGGTGAGTAATGTTTTCCTGCGCAGGCTGGGGCGTCTGCACTAGGCGGGTTCATGTTGGGTTCATTTATAAAAAAATAAATAAATAAAAATAAAATAATAATAATTTTCCAAAACCTAAACAAAAAATAAATAAAAAATAAATAATCAAAGAGTAACCGTCAGCCGTGCTCAGTGTAGTACCTCCTGGTGCGACGGTGCGTCCACCGGTGGGTGGGGGGCAGTGCGCTTGGTCCTCAGAACGGCAATTGGAGGGGCAAAATATTCCCCTTTGGCCCTTGGGGGGGATGCTCTTCCCTTGGGGCATAAAGGGGGGTAAGACTCGGGCGGCGATGATGTAAAGTTCCATTATTGGAAATTCCTAAGACGTTGGCGAATTGGGTTTGGGGTTCGCTATTTTGGAGAGCGTGGTTGGGGAGAGGGCTCCGCGGCACGGCGCGGCGCGGCGCGGTGTGGCGCTGTTTTGTTACCAGGACACCACTTGGAATACATGTCATACTTATGGTGGCCTGGGTTGGTGGCGCTATGAAAAACATTTCATCAGCGCCTTGCGGATTTGCCCTCTGTAGCGTGGGATCAGATGGACTTCGGCCCCTGGCTCTCCATCGTAACCCGCCCGGTGACGTGTAAAAGGGGTTTGTCCTCCTTTCCTGGGGGGGCAGCTCCGCCCCAGCGGCCTTGAAGCAACGGCCAGGTTATTGCGGGGAGTTGAACGTCAGCCAATGTAAGTGGGGTGGGTCGTGCTGTTTTAAGCTCAAATGCTCCCATCGTGGTGGGGGCTCACTCTTCCTCCTGCTATTTCAAGAGGGGTAAGTACAGGGAAAAGGGGGAAGTGGGGGCGCAGGGTGGCGATGCCGGTGCTCGTCAGCACAATGTGCCCATGGCTTGACCGTTACTGGAATCGGTAGGCCATGGAGCTCCTGCTGAAGGGGGTCACCCGAGGTTTCTGGATCCCTTTCTCGGAGCGCCTGGCTTCAGGGTGGTGCGGACTTTGAAGGAAAGGTTAAAATAACTTTCCATGTATAGCTTGGTGAAAGTCGAGACAGCAGAGATATGATAGACAATTTACATACTTAATGGGAATCAATGCAATAGGGAGGAGACTATGTTTAAAAGAAGTAAAACTTCCGCAATAAGATTACATAGTCTTAAATTGGAGGTGCAAAGGTTTCATAATCATACCCGGATGTATTACGTTAACAGAAGGGTAGCGGATGCATGGACTAGCCTTCCAGCTGAAGTAGTAGAGGTTAACACAGTAGAGGAGTCTAAGTGGGTGTGGGGTATGCGTAAGGCTGTCCTACCTATAAGATAAGGCCAGGGACTAATGTCAGCGGTTAGAAAATTTGGCAGACTGGATGGGCCGAATGGTCCTTATCTGCCTTCACATTCTATGCTTATGTTTCTAAGTCTGTGCTCGACTTCCTGCAGATGGTGCTGGATGAGTTCCTACAGGAGGTAGCTTTGTGGTGGTTCGCAGGGTTAGTTGAGGCCCCGTCGCTCCCCAAGTTGCAGGTCCCCCTTGGGCCTGGTGCCCAAGTAGGAGGCAGGGGATTTTCGTCTGATTCATCGTTTGCCTTGCCCTCGAGGGGTTTCGGTGAAAGATGTCGGGCGTCCTAGGCATCCTTCGATGCAGCATTACGCATGGTTGGGGCAGTGGGCCCTGGGGCTTTGCTAACGAAGGCCGACGTCGGAGCCGCTTTTCACTTGTTGCCAGTTCATATGGATTGTCATCAACTCCTGGGTGGTGGGTTTGTGGTCGGTATTATGTGGATACGTGCTTCCTGATGTGTTGTTCATGTCCTGCTTTTATGTTGAGTTTGTCAGCGCTTTCCTGGAGTGGGTGGTGCGGCAGAAGGCAAGGATTGGCTCGTTGCTGAGTTACCTTGATGGCTTTTGTGTGTGGGCCTTCGCTGACTTGTCGACTCTTGCTCGACTCGGCAGAGCTTTTAGAGCACAATAAGACAGTGGGGCCCAGTGATGTGCCTTAGCTCCCTGGGTATCAAAATTGACTCTGTGGCCATGGAGTGCTGGTTCCGTGGGATAAGGTTGAGAGGGTGTGGCGATGGCCAGGGGTCTGAGGAGGATGCAGCTGTGCAAGCTGCAGTCCCTGTTAGGGAGGTTAACCTTCCACTGCCGGATCAGGCCCATAGAGCAATTGTTCTGCAGGCGCCTGGTGGTCGCTACTACCAGGACCCTGGCATTTTATCCGGCTCTGGAGGTCTGGGTTTCCTTCCTGACCGAGTATATTGGAAGGTGATCTTGGCAGGCGCAGGAGGTGTCCAGTTCAGACTTGCCCCTCTATACGGTCGCAGCTGGCTCTGTCTGGTTGGGGCGATTCTGGGATTGCGCTAGTGTGCTGACATGGTCGGCGGTTTGGCCTTCCTGGAGCTTTCCCATTGTGGTGGCCTTGGATTTATGGGGTCGGGAGCTACAGGACAGTCGGTTGTTATTCACCGTGTCAACCTCGGGGTTGTCCAGGCGATTAGCCAGCTCTCGGTCCACTTTTCTCTTTTGGTACTTACCCTGCTCCAGCGCCTGGTGCTCCGGTGCCCGTGTCTTCATGGTCATATAGGTCCGGTTCCTCTTGGGCCAAGGTACAGGGTATGGGTGGAATGGCAGGCACATAGAGGTGGGTGTATTTGTGGGTTCGCCTGCTCGCTACAAGGTCTGTTGTGACTGCTGGAGCGTTGGGTTTCAGCAGATATGTCACCCTCCGGGGTGTCCTTTCGCGTGTCCAGTTTTGATTTCTGGTTAAGTCCCAGGGTTGGGTGGCAGTCACCACAGAGTTTCTGGTATGGCATGCAGTATAGGGCCCATGCAGGGGTCGGTTTCTGTGGATCCAAAGAAGTCGGTTTTGGATTGGGGTATTGGTGGGTCCGAACTGGTCAGCCGAACTGTTTGCGGATGTCCAGGATGGTCAGGACCCAGTGTCCTTCAAGACTTGCCCATACTAGACCGACATCCTTTGCAAGAGCAGGTGGTCCCGCTGGCAGCGGTCCCAGGATTGGACGCCTGTCTGGTCTGGGTACTCAGGGAGTCCGCGGTATGGCCGTACCTGGCTGGCCCGATCATGATATACGAGGAGGGGAACTTCCTCTTCCATTTTCAATTTGTTTGGCAGTCATTCTTTCTGCATTGGCGCTGTGACGGAGGCCTCTCGGCTGGGTATGCTGAATCGGGATGTGCGGAGGATAGGAAGGTGGGACTCTAGGAGATTTGTTCCGATGTGCGGGACGCTGGTTTGCTCCGTTGATTATTTTTCGTTCTTGGGGCGGATGATTGAGCACTCGACGGTGGAGGTTCTGTGGTACAGCGCCGGGGGGACATGAAGTGGGTCTGGCTCCTCCCGGAAGTGGTCCAGTTCTCTCACTTGCAGGGGGTGTCATTGGTTCTGGTCATTCCCCCTGGGTGGGTATGGACCTGGGGACCTTGGAGACTTGGTGGATATTGGGAAGTGGGACTTGTCCCAGATCCTTATGTAATTTCCGGGTTTTTTTTTTGCATGGTGTGGTCGGAGGTTGTGGCGAGGAACTATTGGTGGCAAGCACACATCTGGAGTGCGTTGGAGCGCTGCTGCAAAGGGTTCAACCGTTGGGTTTCGCGGTTCGTTATAAGGGTTTGGGGGATGCCCATTTCATCAGGTTTTGAGAAGGAGGCAGCAGATTTGTTGCGGCCGGATGGGGTTCATTTTTGGTCGGGCTCGACCATTTTAATCTGGCCATTCGAGAGACAGTGGAACGGGCCATGGTTGGTTTGTTTGGGGTCCCCCGCTGATTTTAGGCTTAAAACAGCGGGGTTGTGGCAGGGGTGTGTCCTTGCCAAATAAGGGATGGTTTGGTAGATTAGATGAAAAAGATAATGATCAGGTCTCATCCTCCCCCTGTCTCTTATGGTGAACCTGGATGAGGTACCAGGTTTGATGTGTCCCCACTGGGTTGTAAGTCGACCAATGGGGAGCATTATGGTTGGGCCCCACCGAGTTGGTGGGGAGCCCTGAAAAGGAAGATGTTTTTATTATGCCGAGGGAGGGAGGTGAGAGCCTTGGGGAAGCTAGATTGGCAAGGACGGTTTCTTTGGTTACTGTATGACTATATGCAAATTGTTTATGTTAATTTATGATATTTATTATTTCGTTATATGTTAAAGGAGTCATACAGTATTTGGTTGTGTTAATAAATGCTGTGGCCTGTTTTCTCCAAGACGTTGTCTGTCGTTATTTGAAGGGGTAAGTTAAGGTTTTATGGGGGATGAAGGGAATGCTATCCAATGCCCACTACATACATACATGTTCTAAACCATTCTAATGCTGTTCTAAAAACCTTTTAGATGTCAATCCATCTGTTCTAAACCATTCTAACACTGTTCTATAGACCTTTTGCACACCTATCACCTAATTCTAGAGCTTGTTAATCCAGTTTTGTGAAATGGCTGTTTAAGAAAAGAAAATTCTCACGAGTGCAGAAATCATTGAATACAGTGTTGTCTTCAATCTGTGATGAGACATGCATGTAAACATGCATATATTAATAAATTGCATCCTGTTAAACGGAGAGGCAGATTATTCCATGCAATTCTAAGGGGTACAATGTATCCCTGCAGCCTATTTATAAAATATTTATATAAAAAACACAATTCTTTCATTAAAATA